TATTCTCATTTATTTGATCGCAACCATAATTTCTAACTTATCTAATATATCATATATTTTTAATAATGTGCATATTGCACTATCGAAATACATTCATTCATTTTGTTTGCCATAACTTATCTGTTTTACATACTTTTTGCGAACTATTTTAAAAAAGTAACAAATAGATTAATTAAATTTTAAAGCATATAACAACTGCTTATACTGGTCGCTACGAGAATATGCCATCAAGCGATGCAAAAATATATTTTTTGAAAATAATCTCAGAATTGCCAACATTTGGTTCAACCTTTTTTGAGGTATTAACTATTAATTACTATAGTTGCTCATTTTTTCAAAAATCATCTGTTTACTAAAACCATTACATTAATTCTAGTAATTCATGAAATAAAGTCAGTATTCATTTCACAGCTGTTATGCTCAGCTTTGTAAGAGCTTAATTCAGGTCAAGCAGTCATCAGATTCAGCAATTCCTGATAAATTATTGATAGCTATCAACCAAACAGGCGTACACTTATACAATCCGACAAATAAACAACATATTATTCATCATCCATTTACAATACTAAGTAATTGGAATAGCGGGAATACTTATTTTCATATAACCATTGGTAGTTTAATGAAGGGTGGTCGAGGTACTCGATTACTTTTGGAAACAACACTGGTCTGTTTTGTTCTTATTTTTATTTTTTTTATATTAAAAAAGTTTACGATTAGAAAGAATCAAAAATTTAACTTATTCACTTCTGCAATGAACTACAAGGAATTTTAAAATGTTAAATATTTCTGAAATATAACTCCTGAACCTAACAGACGAGTGTTCTCAACGCTAAAACGGATTACCAATATTTTAAATCTTCAATTCTTGAGCAAATTTAAATTTATCTGTCAGTAACAATTATTTTCTGCCCCAAATATATCTTTAAAAATATTTCTCTGCTTTTTCAGAATTTTATCCTTTTAAGGGTTATAAAATGGACGATTTGCTCACGTCGTATATAAAACTATTCCTAACGCTGAATAACACTCCTACAAAAATGATTGAAAATGAAACTGCCATCATGTGAACAGTTTTTGTTTTTCCATACTGTAAAGTTGTTGAGAATAAATTGAAACATAGATTATAAACAATGTCTTGGAATCACAACTTTTCAGAATTTTGTTCACTAATAAATCTATTTGTTACTTATTAATAAGAATTGAGGCTTGTTTTCTTCGCAATAACTATGTACGTAATTGAAGCTTCTGCTCTAAATGGACTAAGTACTCGTTCATTTTGATTTACGTCATCGAAGTAGACGAATTCATAGGCAAACACTGAAGCCAGCTTGCTGAGGACGCATGACTCAGTCTAATGAATAAATAACCCCAAGCTGACCCTCTCTTTGTTTCTCTGCACCTCTCAGAGTGTCAAACTATTTGACCATTTAATGTGTCAGAAATTGACACCTTCTTGGTAGCGTCTCATCACTTGCATACTCAACAAACTGTTTGATTAATTAGCATTGCAACAAAGAAATACTCTATCGGTCAGCTTCTGACTTGCAATACATTTAATACTCAATGCATTATAGTTTTGCAGACATGTACATCACTGAAAAGCCATAATAAATGTTTGGTTAGTATGACAAGTCTTTCATGTCTATAGACAGACGTTTGTATGCCTTGAGGTGAAAGGCGAAAGGTCATAGGGATGCTTATTTGCTTCATTTTACCGCAGCAGGTAAAAGAAGAATTTTTTTTTCTCACATTCACTTGACCTGTCACTAACTGCATACAATTACTTCGAAAGCATGCAAGGAGAAGTTTGCTACTTCTGACCTCTCATACGTTTTCCACTTTCAGGCTGTTGCTAATAGATGCGCGCACCATTTAAAATATGAAGCACCTCGCGCATATTTCTCCTTTAGTATTATTTATTTTAGTTATATGGTTTGAGAAATAATTTTGACTCGCTAACAAAAAAAGATGGTCCCTAGGAAATGAACCATGACCACATCGATATTCTTTCGATAGGACCCGAACTTTTTCAAGTGATTATGTCGAAATTGATCTACCAAATATCAATTCTCCGAACCTACTCCTGGCTATACTGACTATATCTAACTATAGTAAGGATAATTAATCTCAATCACAGCAGGTACCAAAGTGCTCAAAAAATGGAAATACCAAGCATCCAAGCAAGAAGTATAATAGCAAACACAGCGAAGACCCCTCAGTTTTTCCCTCTTTCTGCTCTCTTTTTCTCTCGTCTTCTCTTTTTCACCACTGCTACATTCCTGCTTACCTCCCCTCACTTTTTTCATTTTTCCCTTCTTCTCTCTTTCTGAACTATAAGCAATAGTCAGTGAGGAAAACAATAAATTGCAATCGAAATGAGACAACAAAATACCAAAATGAAGATGGTCCCTAGGAAATGAACCGTGACCACATCGATATTCTTTCGAAAGGGTCCGAACTTTTTCAAGACAATCTTGTAAAAGTAAAATGCTTACAAAACATTTTAACACTAACTGTACAAACTTACAGTTAATAAAGCAGAGACAAACATGAAACCGAGTTAGTTATGGTCCTGCAGACATGATTGGTAGTATAAGCTATAGTCCTACAAATATTGGTAATCTAAGTCATTGGTAATCCAAGTTATGGTCCTACTACAGACATGATTGGTAATCTAATCCAACCGCTACAGGTGCAAATGATGGCAACAAATGAGAAAGTGTGCAGCACTTCCATCACAATTTCTTACTCTGACTATACGTTTGCAGACAGGCGTGCAAAATGTGATCATTATTACGGATGAATATACCGCTTTGCGCACTTTGTACTCATATTTATCCATTCAAAAATACCATTTGTTATTTTTAACGCTTTACGGTTTACGGTACTGGCTTGTCTCTCAGAGAGATCACAGTCTCAAACAATATTCAAATTATGTTGTGTGAGGGTATTATATCTGATATGTACTGCTCACAATTTCCCCCGAAGACAGACACCATTTTCAGTAAGCACACACTGCAATATGCTTAATTTTCTTTCTTTACCTGATTGTAATTACATGCTAATATGTTCCTAAAATCCCTCCGAACCAGACTTTCAGGCATTTCAGGACTCTGAAAACCATACACAAGCTCATACATGACCCGAAACTGATTTGACGCATTTTTTGGCTTGGAGCCAAATGAGTGAGGCATTTCATTGTAAGATGCTTAGGGACGTTCTCAAAGTGAATGAGCACATTGCCTCCCTCTCATGATGACACTGGAGCCATTCTTTCGTGCAGTCCTCTTGCAGCTCATATTGATAAGATTGCTATGACCTCTAATTGTTTGGTCTTGTCACTAATTTTAAATTTGAAACAGACATTTAAAAAACAAAATTGCCGACATTCTCGTCAGCTGCGCAACCTTTGCATCTTTATGTAGAAACCATTGACATGACAAGTAAATCTATAATTCTGATATCAAAACGACGTACGAACACACGTGAATCTGTTACTATAAACATTTGTGATTTGCAATCAACCAACATATATATCTAAGTTTAAAAGGTAACTGACAAACAAAATTAATTACATTTCTTACTACTCCTTTATTCGTTTGGTTTGTTTATCAGCTTCATGTCAAATTGTGTGGCAAAAGGTTGTACATTATGATTTGTATTTAATGATTCCATTTACAGAATATGCACTCGGAAGATAACTGTAAAGAGTAAATGAAAATAGAGTGCTAATGTATTTCCCAAAATGATCTTCTATATACATATGCTGTTATCAAGATATTATCAATTAATAATTTAGAAATATTCCTAGTACTCTCAGATTATGAAAATTAAGAAAAGCTAAAATATTCATTAATAATATGCTTAATATAAATCTAATAAGGAATTTATTAACTCAATAGCAAATATAAAAAAGCGAACTGAAACATTGCAAGAAGTTTTAAACATGTTAAATTGAAACAAGATAAAAAACACAACAAGAAGAGAAATAGAATAAAAAATAAATTAAATTTGAAAACTAAATTCTCATTAAATAAATAAATCAGTAAATAAGCGAGTTAATTCACTTAACAAATGCATGATTAACTTTTACAAATAGCATGTATTTACAAGAATAAATAAATATCGAAATGAGTGAAACAGAAACAAATGTGCATCTGAGATATTATTCTCACCAGTAATTTTATTTACTCATAGAGTAATTATTTCTATATTTGTAGTATTAAGTCAACAAAAAAGTTACTGAAAAAAAGTGATATTTACCAAGGAATGGAAGAATAAATAAATATAGCAGCAACACAGAATTGACGAATATGTTACAAATTAAGTTTAAATATACACAAGCTGTAAATTCGTTGCTGTGCTGAACACAGCATTCAGTACAATCAGTTTTAACAGATTCATGCATAAATTGTTTTTCGTTCACAAAAAATTGAAAAGCTAATACAAAAATAAATTAAACTGTTTTTGAAAAGAAGAAACAATTTTTGTAAGAAAGATTGTGAAAACTAAATGTCTGGTTCAGATAAAACTCAAAAGTTAGCATAATTTCCATGCTGCGCAACGTATTATCTGTTTCATGTAAAAAATTAGCATAAAATGGATAATATGTTGCGCAGCATGGAAATTATACTCTCTTTTGCTATCAAAATACTCTACAAATTATTTTTACTATACATGTAAAGATTTTGCTACTCAATTTTATTTTACTGCTTGTAATTTAGTGTTATAATTTGAATGTGAAATGAAAGTGTAAGATTAATTTATGCCTGTATTATCTATCTATTCACAATCATAATATGGAACAGAAAAGCAAAAAATTGATAGATAGCTTTCTAATTTTGGTAAAAATTGCAGACAGCAGTGATAAAATTTAAGTTATTTGCACAAATATTATGCACTGGAAGTGAGAGTTTCTGTACCAGCTCCTCGTACAAATAAAACTCTTGGTAGACCAGCTGTAAGCTCGTCTAAATAATGCACATAATCCGTAAAACCTGGAACATGAACTGTTTCGCACAATGACCATTTCTTGGATTCTAGACAACAAATTCTAATTTTTTCTTCGAAAAAAAACAAAACAAAATCATTACTGAAAGTTCAACAATTGTAGAGATTAAA